ATATATATATATATATATGATTATGTTGGTTCATTTCACAGATCTTTACTCCTCACTTTCAAATACAAGTCACATACGCTCTTTAAAAACTGAGTTCCCTAGTAATGTTTTTGGAGGTATTTATAACAATGTAGAGATCATTCAAGCAAGTTTGGTATTGACTATCTTACAAAAGAGAAACAAAATGAAAGATTAATCAAACTAAGACATGATACTTGTTGAGTTGTGGCATGCCACACAAAGCAAGATGATCAAAGATGATCGCAAATGAGTATCCCAAATTTGTTTTTGATGCCCTGTATCAACTGAAAATGGTTGCTACCAATATACACCTTTCAAGGTAATCCAAGATGATGATGTCAAATTCATGTTCAATAAATATGCACAAGATTTTGATGAGATTGTTATTGATTTCTTATTGTTATTGAGGATATTCAAATGCAACCATACATGATATGGGATTTGATGTTGGATTGCTTTAATTGTCAAATGAACATACTGCAACTCGGATTGTGTTTTTTTCTTTGAAAATGTTACATTTTCAAAGTTATGATGTTTGTTTTCATTATGGTTTATTGTTCGTTGTGTGTTCATTTTTAATTGTGTTGCTATTTTGAATGTGTTTATTATTCAATAAAGATGTATTCGTTTGTACTAATACTTTATGATGTGTTTCGTGTAATTTAATCACCTTTTACTATTCATATATTAAGAATTTCATAGAATTTTGTCTCATACTACAGGTAAAGTAACAGTTTAGATCTCATCAACAAAATCAACGATTGAGATCACATCGATTTAGTCAAATTTATTGTTCACGCACCAAAAATCTTCTAAAGTTTTGTTTTATTGTAAGGTAATGATCTAGATCTCACTAACAAAATTTACAATTAAGATTGCATTGATTTAGTTAAGTTCACTATTCACACATCGTGAATCTCCCAGAGTTATATCTCATATTGCAAGTAAAGTAACTATTCGAATCTCACCAACAAAAAAATCTCATAGATGTTTAATTTGTGTGCATTTCAAGAATGCATAGAAAACCCTTAGAGAGTAGACCTTTTTTGTGCTTTGATGTCTTATAAATATAGCGTTAGAAACTAGTAGTGTTTTCTTTAAAACGCTATTGACGTATCCAAAATAATTTATTTTGATAAATTATTTTTAAAAGTATTTATTTTGGTTTATTTTACTTTGGCCAAAAAGCCAAAATATTTAAAATTTTAATATTTATAATGCTAATATAAATTATCAATAATATATTGATAATCCAGATTGTCTTCTAATAATAATTAGTAATTACCTAAAAAGTCAAATAAATGACACTTCTCAAAATGTTTAGGAGGCTTAAGGGAAATATAAGAAAAGAAAAGAAATATATAATAAATAATGTAAAAAAAAGATAAAAAAAAGAGATCAACTATAAAAAAATTAAATAATATTATTAAAAATTTTGGGTTTATAACCAACTTTTGGTTTTACTCACATAACAGTAGTCTGTATTGATTCAATATTTTGATGTCTCTGACAATTGGTGAGGAAATTTAGAGCCAGCCCAAAATGGAAAATGAGTGAACTATCATTTTGGAATCCAATTCAAATTAGTCTTAAGAATGAAAATTGCAAATTAGTATCTGAAATTGCATTCTGTTGATCAATTCAAAATAGAAGGACTATGTTACCTCTCTGAGCAAGAAAAATAAATTCAAAATGAGTAAAATAGATGGAACTAAGTTGACGACACGTTACACTTACAAGGACCAGAACGGGAGGCGGGGGAGATCTTGGCTTTTAAAGATGCACGAATGAGAAAAGGATGAACTAGTGACACATCATAAATTTGCATAACAAGGAACAAAAAACAAGAACGAGTATTAGAAGTATAATAACCAAAGGATATGAATGAAAACTCTATAAAATAAAAGAATTTCAATTTACAAAACCAACACTAAGACTATTAAAAAATTCAACTTGATAAACGAGATTTAGTTCCATACACGATACTATATGCCCTTGTCTAATAAAACAAAGATCATTGCATTTTGGTGGAAGGCCGAGATAGCAAGGGTACTTTCTGCTATTTTTCAGTAATTTTCTTTTGTTAGAGAAAATAAAGATCATTGCATTTCAGTAGAAGGGCTGAGCTGGCTTCACCAACAATGACTTTCTGCTGCTATTTTTCAGGCCTTTCTGCTTAAGAGGAGTCCACACCAAAGGTTTGCGTTGCAATGCAACCACAGTTGAATGCCTAGCCATCTGCGAATCTGCCAGTGTTGGACTGCCCACAAACATACTATTGCTCCTCATTAAAGTTGGTGATGTCTCAACTGAGGTCCTCGTTTCTGGCAATGAGGTAAACAACCTTGAATACCGATTTTTCCTTTGGTTCCTTATCAGTGATTGCTGAGTGGGGGAACGGAGTGGAGCTGTCATATTAGAAGTTGTGACAGGACAAATTGTAGCTACAGAAACTCGCCTTCTAGGTTGAAGAAGGGTCTTTGTTGTTGATGGTGTCATTGATGCGCCTGGGGGTCTTGCAGCAATGGATACCCTTCTTCTTGCTTTAAAAAGGCCTTGTGTATTTGCTGTAGACGTTCTGACAATGTTTTCCTTTGCATCTATGGAAGAGCTGCATGAGGGCCTTCTCTCAGGTGGTGGAGGCAAGAAGTTAGTAATTTTTCTCAGTGGCTGTCTTTTTGAAGGATTTAGTGGCGGCTTGTTTATAGTTTTCTGGGCAACTGGGTGATTTATCGTTGACTCTGACACTGTTGAAGGTGGAGCTGAAACAGAAGCAAACAATCTACTTTCTTGTTTCAGTCTGATTTTTCTCTCCTCTGCTATCTGGTTCTCAAGATCCCGAACCTTTAGGAATTCATCCAAACATTTGACGAGTTACATTTCAAAGTTAATGAATTAACACGGTAGAGACAGATCAGAGAACCTTTATAAAATCAACACCTATAAGTCAATGACATGCACAACATTAGTCATGGTTATACCTTTTCTTGAAGATTTCTGCACATGAGTTCTCTTGTAGCAAGTCTCATTTGCAATGTTTGTACGTTATCTTGTAATTTCCTAGTTTCCTTCTCATCGTGTTTGAGTTTTTCTGCCTGTTTGTGATGAAATTTCCAGTATAAGAATGAAAAATGAGTTATTAACAACTACCATCCCCACCCCTCAAAAGAATAACTCTAAGCATACCATTTGCTTGTACTTGTACAGTTCAGTATGGTCTGTTTGCTTGCGAGCTGGACCACTCTCAATTCCTCGAACACGCGTAGCAAAATTCAGAGAACAAAGTGTCTCTGTTAAGTCTACTGCACTTGGACTTATCTGGACAAACATTAAAGTTTTGCAATCACCCCCTGCATTTCAATCCCAGATCAACATCATAAATATCAGGAAGGAAAAAAAAGAAGAAGAGAAAATGCACATACCAACAGAACTTTTAAATAATAAAACAGCTATGAAATTGTAATCCTAATTAATACTTTTTAATCCAAAGACATAATAATCAGTTATAAAGAGCACCAAATCATTGAGGAGCATAGCGTTGTGAAATGAATCCTCACCTAAAGAGCTCTGGAGCATATGTGTAAGCTTTGAGTTCCTATCTCAAAAAAATAAAAAATAATAATGAGATAAAGAATGATTATGTAGAGGATATATGTTGGAGATTAGAGAAATACCTGTAAGGTATGTGGGCTGATTTGGATGCTAGGGCCGAAATAACATCACCAAGTGCTGATAGAGACTTGTTTATGAATTGAGATTCCTTTAGTCTTTCTCCTTCAGCTTCAGTTTTTCCCACTCGCTCACTGCCAGCTAAGTCTACTAGCCAAAGGTGACTCCTTGTTTTCTGGCCATTGATTAAATTCTCCCCCAGAACAGTCACTCGCAACAAACTGCATGTAAAACAACACCAACCAGGCAACCACCCTTTTTTCATTATCAATGGTGAACAAACAATATCTATTTGCTGGCTTGTCCAATAATTGCAATCAAGCAATTTAATAAATAATTTATGGATCATGCCTCTGTCAACTTTAAACATGTCATTCAAGGAAGATATCTGCTCTACTTATATGTTTGAGATATTTAAGCACTTAAAAATAAAAAAAGTACAAACACAAAATAGTTTATCAAAAAGAAATAAAAAATACCAATGAGAACGACTGCTAAGCTCATTAGCACTAGTGGATCCAACAGATCTGACTCGGTTTCCAGACTTAAGCTTTTCCCAGACATCCTCTGTTCCATAAACACGGGCTTCAACAAGTCCAGGGACTTCTTGGGTTCCATCTGCTGCTTGCTTTATCTCCAACCTACATTTTATTGGATAAAGCTTACAATATGTTTTCCACCTCAGTATTATTACTTGATAAACATTTAAAACATCAAAGCTTCATGCTTAATTGGATTGATGACAGAGGGGGAGGAAAAGATTGAGATTATGTTATGACATAATGTTAGTGGGTTTTAAGTTTTAACTGCTATATGCAAATCCAACCATGCTACAATAGAAGACAGGTGCAGAGATGATTAATTGAAATCACAAAGTTTTTCAGAAAAGTTAATATTTCCTCTAATAGTCATGGATAATTTTATCAGGCATCTCTATCTTGGAAAGAAATGTGTTAGGCACTCGGATTATATTTCATTAGCATCATGTGAAACAGTGAAAAAGTGAAAGTTGTATTTCATTATAAAGCTTTTCAGAGAATAGCTAAAGTTGAATGAAAACTCACTTCTTTATAGGTTCAACTGAATTTTCCACCAATAAATCTCTTATCTTCTCATTGTAAACCTCCAACATGCTAACAAGCAATTCATATTTTATCATGCCTTGTCTCTCTTCAGATATACGAAATAATTCCTCCAGGGTTTTATAGTTAACTCCCCTATGCTCTGGTGTTCCCTCCATAGTAAAAGTCTTGCCAGTTCCAGTTTGACCATATGCAAAAATGCAAACATTGTATCCATCTAATACAGATGTGACGATAGGTTTTGTTTGTTCAAAAACAGTCTCTGCACGTTAAAATAAACCACACTAGTAATCATTAACCAACATATGAAAGAAAACTTCATAAGTTAACATAACCACCAAAATGTTCTAAATTCTTATGTACCTTGGTTATCTTCAGGTCTGAACACATAATCAAATTTAAACTGCTTTTTAGAAGAATCAGTGCAATTAACTTGGAGCTCATCAGGAGATGAATCAAAATTGACAACAGATACTGCTGATCCATTTGCAATTTCACTTTCATTTAATGGTCTGCATCTGCAGAAAACTCGGATATTCCCCTTTAGTTCAATCACTTCATTGTATAGCTGTCTACGCTCAGATGATTCCTTCAAGTACTTTCTTTTCAAAACTTCATATTTAGCACCTAGTGACAAACAATAAAGATGAAAACCTAATATCAGAAGGAGACAGATATTATTTCTCAATTTTAGGTTTATGCTAGAGCCTTACCAAGAAACTGAACAGACTTTAAAACATCTTGGCCTGGAAATGACTCAGTTGTGAGTTTCACTTGATCAGATAGGGCCACATGTTGTTTCTTCAAATTCTGATACATGAAGAAAAAAACCAACATCAACAAAAACAATAATCCGGAAGAAATTTGATTCTTTTGTTTCATCATACCATCAACCAACATTTAAAATTTACCTGAACTTTGGTACTCAAGTCAAGGATTTTCTTCAATATTGGGAGTGTATGACCCTTATCAGGAGAACATTCATCAATTCCATTGGAGATGCTATTCTCATCCATTTTGTCAAAGGTCTCATTGTTCAGTTCTGCTAATGCATTATCTGGTGATAGAACAAAATCCATCAGACGACAGAGGCAAAACCGAAACCAGCTTTGTAAGATAGTAATATTTTACTTTCTTAATATTTGGGATAAAAAATCAAATATAAACCACGAATCACATTCTCTTTGTAAAACACACTAGGTTTTAAATTTCAATTGCACAAAATGAATGCCTATATAAAAACAGAAATTGAATTGAAAATTTTGAACAATTATAATAACAGTAAAAGAAATAATCTTGAAGAGAAATAATCTTGTAAATGTATGTCATAAAAGCACAAAGTGATATCAAGAAGACAAACCTATCTCACAATCTGCTACGCTTGTCTGTGAATCTGATGAAATTAAAAAGCATAATCCAACAATTACTAATGCATTTTTTCAGTAATTTTCAAAATCTAAATAAAAGAGCCAATATAATAAGAAGAAAGAATGGAAACCTGAGGACGGCTTCGAATTACAGTGAATAACGAATCGATTGAACTTTTCTGTGAGCATCTCGATTATTTGATCTGCAAGAATCGCGTTAAATGTTAAATTTCGTCCTAGACAAAGAGAAATGAGAAGAAAGAATGGAAATGAGGGATAGAGCAAGCACCATCCATGGCAACGTAAATCTTGAAAGAGAGAAGAATGTAAATGTCGAAACCTTGAAGCTTAAAAAGAAGAAAAAAGAAAGAAAGATGAGATTTCGGAGACGAAGAAGGGACAGAGAGAGAGACAAAGTTTGGTGTTAAATGGTTAAACTTGAAAGCGAAGTGAGGGTTTGAATTTTGGGATCGGACACTGAAGGCAGCTTGTTTTCTAACGGCTAGTCATACTAACAAATAATTTGGGCTTGGGCCTCCTATTGAAATGCCCTTTTGTTACTTACAGTAATATTTTATTAAGCTCCTTTTTTCTATAAGTACACCTTCTTTTTTTTAAAAATAATTAAATTTTTAAAATATTTTTAATTTTTAATTTTAATTTTTTAATTTACATTTATAATATTTAATTTAGTATTTTTTTTTACACATCTTCCTTCTTTTTTTTCAATTTTTATATGTACTTTCTTACTTTTCTTTCACCTCACATATTTCGGTAGTATGTAAAATTTGAAAGAGAAAAAAAAAAGTACATGAAAAAAAAGAAAAAAGTAGAAAATTAAAAGTTAGAGGTGTAAAATTAGAAAAATTATAAAAAATTACAATATTTTATAATTTTTTTAAAAAAATAAAGGAGGTGTACTTGTAAAATAAAGAAAGTATATATATCATGAGTCTTTTATTAAAACTAGTAGAAAAAAGAAACTTTGTGCTTGTATTGTATTAAAGAAAAAAATAAATAAAAATAAAAAAATAGAAATTACTCATAAAAAAAGTAATTATTGAAAAATAAACAAAAGATAAAATAATCCATGTAAAAATAGAAATCAAAAGTAATTATTAAAAATAATATCTCCTCTATACTATCTTGTATAAAAATTAGTTTTTCTTATACATAATTAGAGTTTTATATCTGATAATAACTCACTCCCACCACCTAAGGCTTGCCACCTATGCAATTCAGTTAGACTAAAGAAATAAGCTTTCTAAATTTTTAAAAGTTGTAATTATATATTTTAAATTTTTACTAAATCAACTTATACATATTAAACACAAATTTTTATATTGAACAATAATATTTTTAAGAATTTTTTTCTATAAAAAGATTTTTAAATATTTTTAATTAATTCAAATTTTATTTATCATAATTATTTTTAAATTAAATTTTTAATATTTTTAAAACAAATTATCAAAAAAATAATAATATTGTGTTATAATATAAATTATTTATCATTAATATAAAATATAATTTATATATTTTAGTATTTATTTATTCAAATTTTAAATATGATTTCTATATTCAAATATAATATTTATTTTATATAATTTAATATAAATTTTAGTTATATAAAAAATATTTAGTTTATGCATTACATATGCTAAAATACTAGTTGAAAAAAATTAAATGATACTAGTTACTATCGCAAGTTCAAAATACAATTAATAACTAAGGATTTTTATCCAATTTAAAAATAAAAACTAAATTATATTTTTAGTCTATCTATTTACTTTTAAGATTCAAGTTAGTTCTACTATTTTCAAAAAATTTAATTTGGTCATTTAATTTTTAAAAAATATTCAATATTATCCTTTTGTCTAAATTGATACTAACATGTCATAAATAGAGATAATAAATTGAATAAAAATTTATATCAACATTTTTTGTATAAATAAATTGATTTTTTTAATCTATTTAATAATATATTTTTATTAGAAAACTCTTTCATTTTGTGATTATTTTTTAATTTCAAGTACTCAATTCGTTAACATTTATGTAAATAAAAGAAAATTAAAATTTATTTAAACAAAAAAAAATGCTAGATAAAATTTTATTCAATTTAATCTTATTATTTTTAAAATGCTCAATTTGATATTCTTATTTTCAAAATGTATTCAATATTATCTTTTATCTAATTTCATTAATAACATTATGTCAATTTGGACAAAAAGACAATATTTAACATATTTTAAAAATTAAAAAAATCAAATTAGACATTTTAAAAATAATAGTACTAATTTAAATCTTAAAAATAAATAAAGAGACTAAAAATATAATTTAATCAAAAATAAAAATTTATGGTAAAAAAATCACAATTATAACTATAGTAACTATAGGTAAGCCAGATATGACATCAAATTCAAATTCAAATTCCTTTTCCTTATTGATATAAACTTTTGAATGTCATTTTGATTATTTTGATTATTCTGATTATTCACCAAATCTTAAGCATAACATTTTTTTCATCCTGAACAATCGTTTTTCACCATTCTCTTGACAGAAAAAAGAATGTTGAATAAATATCAACTGATATTACATGTTGTTTAGCCAGATATTTGTTTCCAAAGTCCAAACGCATGCATTTAAAACGAGAACAAAAAAAGCCAGAAAAAAATACAGCAGAAATCATACTGAGACTTCTAACTTGTCATTGGTTAGATAAACTTGTTTACACATGGAAAACAGGCATGTCGCATTACATAACCTTGTGTACCTTTTCATGAAATGACACCCCTACCCATTCCCCATCCATACTGAAATCACAAAAGATATGAGATAAAATGAATTCATATATATATATATAGATAGATCAGAAATTGTATGTAACTTAAATACATCGCGTATGTTTCAGAGAAATGAGGTATAAGGCTCCTATGAACTTCTGATATCTAGCAACTGGTAGTGTATTGTAAACCATGACCCACCAATGTCAGAGCTATAGGTTGGGGACTGAATATATGGGCAGAGTTGCTATCCAAAAGTTAAAACCAATCGACATGCTGGCTTGAAGCTTTGGGTTGCTTCTTTGGTTTTTGATATCGGTTATTCTCAAACTTGGCTTTGGTTATAAGTGAATAGAGCAAGTCTGCTTCAGCTGATGTATCATAGGGTGCTTCTAGTATACTGCAACATCAACCAAATGGAAACAATAAATTAATGGAATGTATATAATAAACTCAAGATGCTCTATAGCATTTGAACGAAATTACAACAGGAATTGTAGCATTTTTTTTAATGTTATAGAAGATTAATGGGAATTAAGGTTACCTGTCAAGTAGCTCCTCCAAGAGAATTCTTTGTGATGGGGTCACGTAATGAATGCAACTTCTAGGGCATTGTCCAACAGCACATTGAACTTGGTAATCGTCCCCGTGACCTTAAATAGTCATTGATGATAGCAATGTTTGTAAAATTATGAAAGAATGATATTTGCACTACACATTCTAAAACTAGGTGAAATATGTCATTCTTCACGCATATGCCTTGCCCAAAATCATGAAACTGAATTACAGATGAGACAACCTTGAGAAGATGCACGTGCTGTTCCCGTTGAAGCGTCATACGTGAAAGCATGAGGAGCTCTTTTCACACAGGAACTTGAACAGGCTGCAGAACATTTAAATTTGTATATGTATTGGAAAGTAAATATATATTGATCAATTCATAGTTTCCAAGAATTGACAATGAGAAACTGTTAGGCATGTTAGGATTATTCTTTGTCTGTATTTATGTGAGGGCATATGTTTATATCAAGAAAATGTTGTAATTCACACACAATTTTACAATAATAAGATATTATTTATTTTAAATTTAAGTTCTCATAATTTTTATTTTTGGTCATTATCCAAAAGTTTTATCATCCATTAGAGTATTTATATTTTATAAACTAATATTTCTCCGTTGTATCAACAAGGAAATGGTACCTTTGCCGACACAAAAGAGCTGGTTAACAAAAAGGTCAAAAGCTTCAGACTCGGGCGTGTCAAAGGGATCTAAGCATTCCCTACAAACGCAACTCCGAATGAAAAATAGAAAAGAAGAGCGATTCCAAATTTCAAAAGTGAAATGTGAAAGACAGGATTTACATTTACCTTTCAATTAATTGCGATGGGGTGCAGTTGGATAGTATCTGTAGCGAGCAAAGGGGGGAAAATTGATGAGTACAAACAAGGCAATGCCTACGTGGCAGCGAATAGAAGGATAGAGGAGTAAGTAGAGTACCCGGTAGGCTTCAATTACACGGCGAATCATGGCATCGGAAGGTGTTGTGTTGTTGAGGTCTGGATGGAACTGCTTCACCTTGGGGAGGAAGAGAAACAAACATGAATTAATAGCGGAATTGGAATGAATGAATTGAGTATTCATGTTGGCTTTGGTACTTTGGCTCGAAAAGCAGCTTTCATGTCGGCGGCGGAGCAGTGAGGGTCCACTCCAAGCACGGCGTAAGCCGCAGCGGTGGACAGAGGACCCTCGTCTCTCAGACTGCAACTCGCTCTTAGCTTCTTCGTCGCAAACGGCGGAAAACTGCGACTTCCGAAGGGGAGAATCGTAGGCGTCGTTAGTAAGCTCATCATGCTCGTTCTCTCTACTATTTTTGTGGTCACAACAATGGTGCTTATTACACTAAGCTTTTTCTTTTTCCTTTTATTTATTAATTATTATTATTATTAAAATTAAATTTTGTGGACACTGGATGCCCAACTGCCACTTGAACCCTTAATTTCAAAATAAATCAAATCAAGTGTAAATAGGATTTCTTTGTCGTTTTTTTTTGTTTTGATTCATAGATTTCTTTGTCCCTGTTGTGTTGCTGTTTTTTTTAAACAGGTGTCCCCAAAAAGGTTACTAAAAATGAAAAATGAATATTTATCTAAAAATAATTGTTTCCGGCGGTCAAAAAAATTAATTGTTTCCAAATATGCTTCAAATAGTCGGTGATTAAATTTGGATTTAATTACGCAGTGAATATAAATCGCAAACATGACATTCAATAGAAACGTGACGCGATTTGACGTTTCATGACCACACACTGAAAGAACGGAATCATGGCACCATCATTTTGGAAACGGGTTAGTGAAACGTATTCTCATTATTACAGTTGCTATCAAAATTTAGCAACCAATCTTCTAGTAAATATCTCTTTCCTAGTATAACATTTCAGGGTGCTTGAATAAAGGAGAAGAAACATATCAATTGAGAATGTGATAATGCAACCATATATATACATGCTCATAAAATCAATCTTAATCGTTCATGTATGGTTCATATGAAAACAATTACCGTACTATCATTTTAATGATGAAATGAACTCATGCCTATGATCCACGATCCAAACAAAGCTCTAGGTTGGCTAGTTTTCTGGAAAAGAAAAATAAATAAATCAATAGTGTTCTCACTAGAAAACGAACCGTCCGAACAAATGCAGAGAGACTAATCCTTTTTATCTTGATCCAAGTAATAGAGAATACACCTTTTATCAGGAACATAGCCTTCATCTTTCAGGTGTTTCAATAACCCGGACAAGAGCCAGAATATAACATCAGCTTGCGGATGCATTTGATCCCCTACTACGAAACTATGGACTTTCCTTTCGATCTCAATCCAACTTATACCCACTTCCTTTGCTACGCCCATCTCTCTCATTCTCTTAATGGCACGTGCTCTCTCTTTCCATTTCCCTTCACTGGAATATATGTTCGCCATCAAAACATAAGGAGCAGGGCTATCTGGTGCAGCCAAAAATAGTTGATCAGCAGCATATTTACCCATCTCAGAATCACCATGTATGCCACAAGCCCCAAGCAATGCTTGCCAAACCAGTACACCAGGATTCTCGGGCAATCCCTCAATAAATTTTTTAGCTTCCTTAAGAAGTCCTGCCCTCCCCAACATGTCAACAACACAAGCATAATGTTCAGACCGCGGACTTAACCCGTGATCTCTAGTCATAGATTCCAGAAACTCCATGCCCTTCTCAACTAAGCCTGCATGACTGCAAGCATGAAGCAGTGACAGAAATGTAACATCCGTTGGTGCTACACCCTCCCTTCTCATCTCTTCATAAAATTGAAGTGCTCTGAAACCATCCCCGTGGCGAGCATAAGCTGCAATCACAGAGTTCCATGAAACTGAATTCTTTTGAGTCATGTCATTGAAGACTTGCAATGAGTCATACAAATCTCCACACTTGGAGTACATGTTTACGAGTCCATTACTAACAAAAGGATTCTGAGAGAAGTTCTTCTTTATAATTAAAGAGTGAATCTGCTTACCAAGAGTCAAAGAAGTGCCAACGCCAAATACCCCAAGAATGGCAGAAAGCATGTTAGGGTCAACTTCAATCCCCAATTTTACCATTCTCATAAATATCTCTATAGCTTCCTCCTCAAGTCCATTTTGAGTAAAAGCTACAAGTATAACAGTTAAGGAAACCTCATCAAGTTCCTCAGCGGACTCAAAAATCTGCCATGCTGCTTCTAAACTTCCACACTTCGAATACAAATCCATCAAAGCACTTTCAATGCATAAATCCGACTGCATTCCCAATTTCCATAGCAAGCCATGAATTTTACTACCTTCCAATAACGCTTGTAAACCAGAACAAGCCATGAGTGCACTCAAATATGTCAAAGAATTAGGACTCACCGACCCGCAACGCATTTGATGGAACAATCTCAAACCATCCTCATAAAACTCATTTTGCGCGAGGCCAGAAATCACTGCCGTCCAAGTCACAACATTCCTCTCAAGCATCTCATAAAAAACCTGCCTACCTTGACTAAAACACCCACATTTAAAATACGATGTCACAAGAGCGTTCCCCACTGTAATTTCCCTCTCAAAGCCACCAACAAACACCAAACCATGAATCATTTTGGTCACATCAGAGAATTCCAGTCCATCACAAGCTGACAACATTGTAGTCAGTGTTGCTTTGTCAAACCGACAACACACTGCCTTTGACCCACCCATTTGCTTAAAGAACCTAAAACCCGCGTCAAAATCCCTTCTCCTTAAAAACCCAGAAATCATCGTGTTCCATGACACGGTATCTTTAACAGGCATATGATCAAAAAATAATGAGAAGAAAGTTCTAATGAGAGATAAAAAAATATAATAATTGTACTAAAAACAAGTTCTAATGGTTTGGAGAACATCTTAACGGCATCCTGCAGTTGACCACATTTGGAATACATTGAGAGGAGAGAGTTCCAAACAAAAAGGGCATTGCGGAGGGAGCTATCAGAATCGATAGATGGAGGCTTCTTGATGATATGGGCATGGATGGAAGAACCAAGATTGAGGTTTCCATTTCTGCCGCAAACAGAGAGAACAGAGCTCAAGTCTGCATGGTTCAGGAAGTATTTTGAGGTTGCAGGAAATGGGTTTTGAGAAGGTGTTGGCTTCCCGTTGAAGGGAATGTTCAGAGAATTCATCCATGAAGGGAGATGGGCATCGAATTTCCATCTCGATTTCATCCATGAAAGGGAAAACGGGGTGGTTGATGAAGGACGCTCTTTCACAGACAAATTCTAAAACCCTAGATAAGCAATGACACATGTTTAAACTTATTTTAAAGAAAAAGTTTTTTTAAAAAAGATTTTTATCTACTTCTTAAAAATTATTTTTTTTTAAAAAAAAGTATATATTAAACATGAATATTTATTCTCTATTATATATTTTTTAAAATTTTTCTCCAAAGAGAATTTTTTATATATACTTTTTATGATGAGGAATTTTAAAAGATTTTTTTTAAACTTTTTTATATATTTTAATTTGTATTTATCATATATATTTTTAATTTTTTAAAATAAATTATAAATAATTAAAAATAATTTGTATCTCAATATAAATTTTTATTCATAAATATGAAATATAATTTTTATGTTCAAATATATAATATTATTTATATGTATAATTTATTATAAATTTTATTTATATATAATAAAAGTTTAACATGTATAATGAGACTAAAATTATACTCTCTATACACATCTTTATTTTTAAATATAAACAAATATTAACTATCTTTATCTTATTTAATAATACTCTCTTAAAATATTTCTCCTTTAATTGCATTACTTCTTTCATAATTTATAACAAGAACAATTGAGAAAGAATGTTATGAAATTACCAAAATTGAATATAAATAACTAATTTCCTTAATATATCAAATTATTTTTTTTCTTTTAATAAAGAATAGAGGAAGTAATATTTTCTTTTGTTAAATTTGAACAAACTAGTCCAGTATATATCTCCATTCAAATTATACTTTTTTTTATTTATTTTAGTCTTTAATTTTTCAAAAATTTATTTTGATCTTTTTCTTTAAAATCTGAGTTATTTAATTCTTTTAAAATAATGACCATTTCAATTTTAATTTTTTTTTATGATTAATATAAGATATGAAACTTGGTTCATTAAATTTAGTCACATGAAAATTATTGAAAAGAATTGAACTTATGCTCAGAAAAACATATGAAAAACACACTTACAAAATTATTTGAAAATAAGTCTAACAAACAATCGGACCAAAAGGAGCATGAAAATTATGTGACATTTTTTTCCAACCATATAAATTAAATTACAAAAATGTAAAAGATGAAGAATTTAATTAAAAAAATTATTTTAGAGATCTAATTAAAAATTTGAAAGAAAAAAAAAAGTTCATGGACAAATGATGTATTAAACCTATTCAAATATTAGCTTTTTAAGGTATAGTGAACCAACAAATAAAATTGAAAATCATGAAGGTCTCTTCTTGTGATGCATTTACTAATAGCAAAATACACACAACACTTCATCATTTCACAAGGTTGCGGGCGATTATTAATATCATACAACTTCATAAATGATTTGACCCCCATCGTAATTCCAGCCATTCAGAATAACTCGAGGAGTGACACCCTGAGGGACCTCAAAAGATATATTTATAGGCATGGTCTCTCCTGGGACTAGTGAAAAATAGTTATCTGAGTAATGAACCGGCAGAATTCTTGTGTCTTCCCCTTCCTCGTATAAGTGATTCTTTGAAGTATGAACAGAAAAATGAAGAAAGAAAGCAACACCTACATCAGACCCTTTTATTTCAGTAACTTTCAAACCATCACTTTTTCCAGCAAAACATCTATGTATCCTATTAAACCAACCAGTTTCTTGTTGTATTCCAACCCCAAAATGCAGAGTTTCCAGTGAGTGTGTGCCATAAAAGCCATCACTTAGCCTAGCTGTTGAATTGGGCTCAAATGTTGAACTCCTAGAGGCTGGTCCTTTAGATTTGTTTGTCACATGCATTTGAATATTATAACTGAATTTATCCATGACAACCTTCGATGTTATCTCGAGAGGTATTTTCTTCTCCCTGTATGGCTCCAACAACTTGTAATCTGCACCAGAAAGATGCAACCAATAGAAGTTTCTGGATATAGTCCTATAATCTGACATGTTATAGAGTTTGAGAAGAAGAAAGTAGACTGGTTTAGGATTTTTTGACTTCGGATACTTCATCTCAGCAATAGGTGCTACTTTTTTCGGCAGCAAAGAGATATTTTCATGAACTGTGTAGTATGCACGTGTTCCTTCAAGATCCCACACTGAAGCTTCAATAGCGACATTAGACAATTCTTCTGAAGTAG